ATAAAAGCTTATATAAAGCTGATATAATTTAAAGAATTTTGTACTTTATAACACATAATTTTATAAATTGAGGTACTTTATAACAAATAATTTTGTAGAATTTTGTACTTTATAACAAATAATTTTATAAATTAAGGTATAAGCTAATATTCATTAATTTTCAACAGCGTACATCATTTTAAATTTTTCTTGCATATTTGGTGGTTGGTTTATACTTGTGATCTGGATTAATACACACAATCATAAAAGATGTTAAATAAACTTTTTCATAAACAATCAACTCATATACATAAAGATGTACAAAGAAGTGATTACAAAATAAAAAATGTAATTTTTTTTAATTTATAATAGGGATGGTACTCATTTAAATATATTCAAATTGCACGATAAGAACAGTGCACGATAAGATACACATAGTTTACAATTGAATGATTAGACACCGAACGATTTAGCATCGTGAAACGTGTTTAACTATGTGTATCTATGTATAAAGTTTTTACACATAGTTAAAGACGTTTCACATAGAAAATTAAAAACCTATGTGAAATTATACAATTATACCTTATTTCGTTCTGTAACGTAGAGCAGTATGAAATGGACCTCACTAAATCTTATGGAATTTGGCTTTATGAAAAAAATCGAAAACACACGTGAAATCCATATACAATAATAGATCTAATCGTGCGATGTCCAATTGTGATGTTTAATTATGCATTATGCCTGTCCATTTGTGCGTGTCCAATCGTGCACTATGTGTGTCCAATTGTACAGTGTCCAATCGTGCACTGTGCGTGTCCTACCATGCAGTGTCCAATTTGAACGTATCCAAATGGGTGTCAGTTTGTACATTTCCTAGAAATTTTGATTATTAGGATAGTGTTAGTTTCTCGTGTTATGTCTTTTTAATTGAATTAGAAAACACACAATGAGAATAAAGCACAATGCGTGTGTTATTTTGTACATGTTCCCAACTTCCAAGTTTCTAATGCGATGCCCAATCGTTATGTTCAATGTTCAAACGAGATACGTCCATATGTAGCTCAGTAATACAATTAAAACATATTTTAGGTTTCTTCGTGAAATTTAATAGAAAGAATTTTAGAAAGGAAGACGCTAATATTAACATTCAAAATATTAAGGAATATAAATTGAATATATCTGTTAAAATAATAGAATACATAAGCGTAATATAAAAGTAATACAGTATATAATAATATAAAGTAATGATGAGTGATGATTGATTTAGAAATAATGTATTTTTATTCAATATAAAGATAAAGAAAGACTTTTTTGATGTTTTGATCAAAAACATGTATGTCATTAAAGTAGGACGCTTGTTATTTATAATATATTTTAAAGTATAATCAAAAGATATAAGTGAATTTTATTAGCATATTGTAAATCATTATACATTTATGTAACATTATCTTAAGCAACTAAATATGAAAATGTTATATTAGTATGATATAATATTTCCATATTTTCTCTTTTTTAAAGTGTAATATTTTTATAAGACTTTTAATATCGTTTACTTGTAATAAATTACAATAATGTCTAATAAATTATAATTATAAAATTATTGGATATTATGACTTACATAAGTTATTAATCTAACACTAGCAGAGATCTCTTTAGTGATATGTTTATATAATTTATACTAGATGTAATACATTAGACACCATTTTTTAAAATAACAGTTTAAGATAACAGTTCAGAATATTAAAAGTACGCAGAAAAGAAAGATCAAAGTTAACAAGTATAAGAGTTTAATAATCTTCTTATGAAGAAATGAAGAAAAGAAGAATTATCTTAAGATGCTTATAATTTAATAAATTTAACAAACAAGATGACAATTTTTT